CGGGTCGCGGTTTTTAGCGGGGGTTCGCGTCCGGACTCGGCGAGTCCAAGGGATGGACTCGACGAGTCCGTGCTGTTTAATGAAACCCTAATTCCCCGGCCCTAAGCTCTATTTAAAGGACCTTATGGCCCTCATATGCGGCCACCTTGAACCCTAAGAGCCTCCATACGTCTGTAAGCCCTTGTGTGTGTGTTTGAAGGCCTCTTGTTCTTCATTTTGTGTGTTAGTGCAAGGAAAGGAGGGAGAGGAGCAAGCTTGAAGTGTTGGGGAGCTTAGATCTGTTGCCATTTCATCAAGGGGGTCTTCTTGAGGTAACTTTCTGAGCCAATCTTCGTGTTTTGTGTTGATGGGCCAAATCTAGGGTTTCTTCTTGCCTTTCTTGGCTTGAATAAGAAGTATGAGAGGTCCCATGGAGACATGGAACCTAGATCTGGACTTTAGCAGGTCCAGGAGACCCCTTATGACAAGCTTTATGCCCATCCATTTGAGTTAGAAGCTATACTTGCCATATTGAAGGTTGTTTCTTCAAAATAAGCCTTGTATGCATTGCATGGCAACCAAGACTGAGACTTTACGTGACAAATAAGCTTGGGAAGGCCAGATCTATGTATTTATGGAACGGATCTGACCGCAAGAGCCAGTTTTAGCTGGTGCATGGCATGGACTCGCCGAGTCTGAAGAACAGACTCGACGAGTCACTTGAAGATTGTCCTTGAGACCATCTTGTGTGTAGACTGGACCGAGTTGTGAGCGACTCAGTGAGTCGCAGAGAGTTGGAAAGGTTTTGACAGGTGGACCGAGTCAGGATGGGACTCGCCGAGTTGGCCTTAGACTCGGCGAGTTGAGTCGCGGTGACCCTGCGATTCAGGCCCAGGTGGAACTCGTCGAGTCAGGGGAGTACTCGACGAGTCAAAGGGAAAATTCTTGAGAGTTGGTAAAAACGCGTAGACTCGCCGAGTCACTATTGTGCACTCGCCGAGTCTAGTCCAAATTAACTAAAGACTGCTGACCGGGTCAACCGGTGTTGACTTGAGTTGAATGGTCCACCTTAGTGGTACAAGTAATATTTATAGATTTATATATATATCGTAGGAGGATTTCAGCTCGAGGGTTCGAGCCCGAGTGATTCCAGGATTTACGGGTAGCAGCTTAGCAAGGCATACGAGGTGAGTCTTCTCACTATACTGTACCCGGAAGGGTTTTGACTATGTGACCGGAAGGTCGATTATGATATGGAATATATGCTTTATGTGTGTTAAGTTATTTGCTATATGTGACATGTATGATATGTTTGATATGGGCCGGAAGGCGTGGTCATATGGACTGTGAGGGTTGATGTGGGTAGGACCGGAAGGTTTACCCAGTCGGGACGGAAGTCCCCTGAAATACATGGACCGGAAGGTCAAGGCCTGGAAAGGCGTATGTGCGTATGTTGTATTTTGGGAACTCACTAAGCTTTATGCTTACAGTTGTTGCTTATGTGTTTCAGGTGCGAGTGAGGACCGTGGGAAGGCGCCAGCGTGATCGTACACACACTCGGGGAAAACTATTTATCTTTTGTTATGTAATCGTTGGAGACTACAACGTTATTCTGGAAATCTAAATTAATTGCTCATGTCTTAATGGTTGTAAAAATGAAAATTTTTGGTTGGAAATTTTATGATGTTACACCCGGTATCGATTGTAAAGCCCGGAATACTCCACGAAGTGCCCGAGAAGCCCGGAAAATTTATCTTTTCGGTTTCGAAGCCCGACCTTTCGCAGAGCCCGGTTTCTCAATAAAACTCCCGGTTTTATTAGAAACGATCGTTTTAGGAAACGAATTGCTGCCCGATTTTCACCAAAATATGTGAGTGTGTAGTTACTTTCAATTTACACATAGATATGAAGTATTTACCTCGAAATACGTGTTATGTGTAAATATGCTAATTGTTATTTGAGGTAACTGTTGAATTGATGTTTTATACAAGTTTTAAACTGTATATGATTTTGATCTACAAAATATGTTGGGTAGAACATGGGTAGATGAAATTGTTGATGTGTGTTAAAATGGTGAGAGGCCTCGATGTTGTTGTTGTTTTTGTTGTAGTCATCTAGCGAAGTATAGATGACGACCACGGACTTTCTAGATAGTCCAGTGGAACACTAGCAGGTTCGCAACTTGTAGGTGTTGATGAATTAAATGTTCATTGGCGTACTTCATCCCCCTCATGGTTGCCTTAAGGACATGTATGGCTGAGGAAACCCCTTAGCAGTAGTGTCCATCCCGATGATATTCCGTATGCTAGGTCCCTTGTGATAGGTGTTTAGGGACGTAAAGTGAGGACAACGGGAATGGGTAATCAGGGTTATTGTTGATTGGTGAACTTAATAAGTATAGTATTATTGTGGGTTGAAAACCCTATATGCTCACCAGGCTCCCAAGCCTGACCCACTCAGTTTTATGATTACAGGTAGTGGACCCCGAGCATAGTTGGAGGACGATGAGAGATTTTTGGATTATAGGCCAGTAGTTGTAAATGACTGTTGAAAGGCTTATAATGTCTTGTTTATGCTTTTGATCTGTATCGGAACATGACATCCCGAGGTTTTGATATGAAATGAAACTATACATTTCTTAAAGAAAGTTTTGATAAACTTTTATCATATTTTGTTTGGGGACCAATTCCGCAACATCTTTTAAAAAGATTTCTCTGATTTTATTTTAAAAAACATAAATTAAATCGGTCTTTTCTGGCCGAGAAAAGTGGGGATGTCACATCTTCTATGTCTAATAGTGAAAATATAGATCCTCAAATTAGGGTTGCATGCACACATATGATTGTTTTCTATGTATAAAACCTGACAAGAATTGCCTGATTATATGATGCCTGGTAGCCTAAGATTCTCCTTTTTATGAAATTGACATCTTAAAGAATGTGTTAAGTTTTTGTATCCTTTGGCATGCGATATGTGTAGGTTCCGAGTAAGCATAAGATTTTGCTTTAAAGTCAAACATTGTTCTCAAGCATGACACTTCTAAAGGTTATAATCAAGTATGAAATGAAAAATATAAGGAACATGTATAATCGAAATAAGATTAGATGGAGTGAGATACCAGTTAGTTTGACCCATCAATGGGATTAGATTGGATTTATTGTATGTCCGTACCCCGATTATCGAGAGTGAAGTCTTTTTTTTTTTATCTGGGTCAATATATAAAAAAACTTTTATTGAATAATAAGAATGATTAAATTCCATGCCACATGTTCAGTGATGTTATAACAAAGGGATTTTAAAAGATGACAACACACTCACCCATATTACGAGTTAATGCTAGCTTTGTGGAACGAATACTCATACGACAAAGACATGTTGCTAGGAGATCAACACTATTTGTACAATTGTTTGCTGTTCTCTTATATAAATAAGAAACTATTGAAAATAATGACCAATATAAACAAATTAATGTATTGATGATTACATGTCAAACCACATTCTGAAAGTCAAAAAATATAAGAAAAAAATAATAAATGTCTATAACATAAATTCTATTTATTAACTAAAAAAATATGAAAACATAAATACTTTATTTATTATTATATATTATATAAAAAAAGTAAATACAATGGTCATTAGATGCCTAAATAAGAGTTTATTTATTTATTTAAAGGCTAAGTATTGTTGGCCTTACCTTATTAGGCATATTTAAAATGAGCTTTAGAAGCCTCATCCAATAATACATGTATTAGTATCATGTTTTCCGAGTTCAACTTAACAAGAGAAAAGAAAGGAAATTGGTGTAAGTGAGAAGTAAATAAAAAATTGATGTTCTCCGGTTTCATTAAAGGAATGAAGTGGAAGGAAATGTAATGATCACTTTCCCTCCTAAGTTTCCTTCCGATTTGGAAGGATTTGGAGAGAAAGAACAAAATGTTTAATTTTCCTTCCACTTCTCTCTAACTCGAGAACACAAAAGATAAATTTCTTTTCATTTTCTTTCTCTTATTTTCTCTTCCTACTTTCTATTCTCTTCTTTTTCTTTTCTCTACTACAACTGGAATTATGGTTATAATGGAAATAAACAACACAATAGCAAAAACCCTAATCCTTACCTATCCACCTAGAAACTCCTCTCCATCCCACTCTCTTATGTTCGACATAAGCAAAGAAGGAAGAAAGAAAGCAGAGCAACTTTTATCGTTGATTGTTTATTAACTATTTGGATTGAAATATATATAGATACATAATATGTGTAATGTATCTTGATTGTGATCTCCCATGTTTAAAGGGTATTAACTCTAAACACATATGGTTGTTGTTAGCTGACACTCTTTATCTAAATAGATCCATCTTTGGGTGTTATGAAATTCTAGAATTTTCTTTCCATCACAATTTCTTTAATTGTTTTGGATTCCATCAATTCCCGACGAAATTCACATGGTGGCTTAGAAGGTGAGGGGGAATCGATCGTTCAACCGATTATTCGATTATTCACCAAAGGACTCTAAAAGCTGGTTCATTAAATGTTGTCAGAATACCACCAAAATCCAATTCATTGATAGTTTCAAAATCCTAAGAGAATGAAATTACTTCACAAATTCTTGATGTCCATGTGCATTTTGTATGTGTTGACTCTTTATGTTAATTCCATTTATACCATTAGTGCATAATTAAGAACATGAATCCATAAAGGTTGTGATTATGAGACAATTAATGAAGATGATGAGGACTTGCAGGGAAAGAAGCCGAATGCGATGCCGTGAGGGTAGGGGCGGCGGTGGGTTCCATATTTAATAAGTGTTTTAATCAAAATCAATATAAAATTGCTAATATAAGTTAAGTATGGATACTTTCGTAATTTCACATAGACCGGTCAATCATTGGGACCAAACCGCAAAAAAGAGGCATGAGACAAAAATCACATATTTTTATAAACCATAAGGACCATTCATGTCATTTACGCTAATTTATATGAAATTATTTGATAAAAGTTTAGCGGAAATATGTTGCTACATATTTGAAAAACACAATTGTCTTCCGAACAGGGGAAATGGTGTTCTTGCCGTTTTCAATGCCCGAGCAACGGAAACAACGATGGAGAAGAAAGGTGACTTGCATTACAACATTGCAGACGAATAATAACTCATTTGCATACAACAAACTCTTCTCGTAAGACTGTTCATCAGATCTCTCTCCGTTTTCCTTTTATTTATTCGTCCATTCCATCTCAAAATCTCTGATATCGAAACATAGGAGCAAAATTCTGCAGCATCGGTAGTACGATTGGCAGACAACTGCCATTGCAAGAATTTTGAATTCATTCTGTTTTTTTTTCTTGTGAAATTAATCAATGTTTTTGAGGGTTTAGGATCGGATGTCATTTTTCAATGTAGGTTTAGGAGTATGGTAGTTTAATTCGATAATGGTGGTGAGGATTTTGGGATTAACTCGGGGAGATGACGAGTCACCGAGGGAGATCACGCGGAACAATCAATCAATTGATAATGGCGGGGAGAACGGATGGTTGATTCGATTTTTGGATTCCGCTTTCTTCTCTGAGTGGATTGCTGTTAGTTATCTCTACAAACATGATCACTCAGGGGTTAGGGATTATCTCTGCAACCGTATGTACACTCTTCCATTATCTGGCCTTGAAAGCTACTTGTTTCAGATTTGTTACATGCTTGTTCACAAGCCTAGCCCTTCACTTGATAAATTTGTCATCGATATATGCTCAAAATCACTTAAGATAGCACTGAAAGTGCATTGGTTCCTTATTGCTGAGCTTGAAGATTCTGATGATAATGAAGGAATTGGTAGAATCCAAGAGAAATGTCAGATTGCTGCCACTTTGATGGGTGAATGGGCACCTTTGGTTAGACTTCAAAATGATTCAGCTATCAATCTGGGAAAGAATAAAGTACTAAACAGATGGCATTCCTCAAAGCAACGGTTACTGTCATTAACATCATCTCACCAGTTTCGTAAGTCTTTTTCATTCTCACCTTCTTCAGGGAACAATTTGCAGGATGAAGGTAGTAGTAGTAAAGCATCCCAAGATGAAAATAATATGTTCAAGAAATTTATTCCTAGTCAAAAAGTCCGGGATGCATTGCGTTTTAGGAAATCTGTATATAAGGATAATGAGGAATCAGAAAAAGATGGTTTTTTTACAAGACTTTTAAGAGACTCTAAAGAAGAGGATGTAGGGACATCCATGGAAAGGGATGATGAAGACAAGGAGAAAGATGGGTTTTTCAGTAGGTTTTTAAAAGATAGTAAAGATGAGAATGAGGTGACATCAAGCTCAGATAGTTTTTTAAAAAGAATATTTAGCAAAGGCGATTTGGAGTCTGTAGAAGGTGATGATGATAAAGAAGGGTATTTCAATAAGTTTATTAAAGAGAAATTTGAAGACAAGCAGAAAGATATTGCTGCTAATGATGATGAGGAATACAAGGAGGTATATGCATAATTTGAGTTTTTTTACTCCTTTGAATCTTTTAATACTATCTACAAAGTTCTTCCATTATCTTCTTGCAAATTTATTTTCTGTTTTTTAGTAATTACTTGACATAGCTTACTTAGAAGCAATTGGTTTCTTGACTAATACACTTGAATATGCATTTGATATATATAATGTTTCTTTTGGCAGAAGCAACCTGGTTCACCAAAGCAAAAACATGATAGATCCAATCCTAAACCTCCATTGCCATATACAAATCCTTCACAATTTCGTAAAGGAACATATCATGAGTCACTTGAGTTTGTTCAATCCTTGTGTGACACATCATATTGTTTGGTAGATGTTTTTCCAGTTGAAGAACGCAAAAGTGCTCTCTGTGAGGTTGTGCTTCATCTTTCCTTTTAATTTTCTTCTCAACTTGGGTAAAATCTTGTTATATGTATGCAAAACATTGCTTCCTATCTACTAAATCTTTGCTTTATGTCTGTTGTAGTCACTCTCTGATATCAATGAGCATGTTGTTGCAGCTCAGAGTAGTGGAGGTCTCTCTCTCTCTCTCTCTCTCTCTCTCTCTCTCTCTCCATTTACAAACAACAATCATTTATGTGAACATGCATGTATGGATATGGATATGGATATGGATATGTATCTATATACATGCACACACTTATATAAACCATGAAATAACTTCAATGAATTGTATAAAGAAATGAATGCAAAAAATTCAAGATCTTTTGTAAACTATAGTCATTTGCAATTTGTTCTCCATTGATTAGTACGATTAAAATAATAATAATTATCATTTTTATTTATTTATTTTTTACAATATTTGGTTGTATGATAGGCTTGTGCTTTCCCATGGGGAAGGGAATGTATCGTGTGGTTCATATACCAGAAGATGAAGCCATTCTTCTTAACTCTAGGGATAAGGCACCTTATCTAATATGTGTTGAAGTATTAAAAAGTGAAACCTCAAGGTAAACACACACACACACACACACTCTTCAACCCTTTCATTGTTATTGATGATTCTTTTTGTATTCAGTAGCAACACAAAGGACCACAAACTTTCCAAGGGTAATACCTCGTTAGCTAATGGAGATGCAAATTTACCAAAACGCCCTCCGTGGGCTTACCCTTTACCAAATAGACAAGATATGTATCTTTCTAGTTTTAATAAGATTTCAAGAACCACTTCACAAGCTATTGATGAAGCAATGAGTAGCTTGTGGGATTCAAATGCAAAGTTTGTTCATGTGAGTCTTTTAGTGGAGAATCAAATATCCAAGTCAAAGTTTGACCATGAATGTGGTCAAACTAGAGATGAAGATGATGATGATGTGGAATGGGTGAGGGTTGAGTTGAAAGCGGACCCTGGGGTCCACATGGATGACATAGCGGTTCAGGAACCGCCACGTAGGCGGGAGCACCGCCGGGTCCCGAGTATGGTTGCTTTTGAGGAAGTTAAGGTAGTTTTTTTCTTTTCTACATATTATTTTTTGCTAAAGATATTTTCATTATGAGTTTAATTTTGAGATTTCATGGTAATTATTCAATTTAGTTCTATATATATATATATATATATATATATATATTATATATATATATATATATATATAATATGTCAAATGGATATTAAACATATTTCTTGTAATTTATCTAGCTACATATCTTATTTGATTGAAGTTATTGTTATATAATAACATTTTTTTTCTTGATTTGTCAATTTAATTCCATTTGGGTGTGTAGTTAAGCATAGTAAAAAAAATCAAAAGATGAAGATAAATGAAAAACTAAAGAACACTAAGAGTGATTTTGGGGGAAACGTGGAGCACCCAAAAACTTATATAAAAAAAAGAAAGGAAGCAAAATGGAGGGTTGACTAGTTTTTAATACCAACGTTTTATTTTTTTATTTTTTTTAAAGGCTGCTGCATTAAGAGGAGGAGCACCTCCTGGACTTTGTGTAAAGAGGTCTAGTCAAGAGTCATCAGAAGCAGAGTCAAAGGTGAGAGATTACATTTCAAAAAAAAAAAAAAATTTGGCATGAAATTTATATAAATGCTTTATAGATTTTTATTTGAAAACAGGATGTATTATCTGGTGAACTTTGGGAGGCAAAGAAAGACAGAATTCGTCAGGCTTCAGTATATGGAAAGTTTCCTGGTTGGGATTTGTTCTCGGTAGGCAACTTTTAAAATTTTAAATAAATTACAATTTTAATTTTTTAAAACATTATTTTCATTATAGCTTGTTTGGGTTTAATGAGCTTTTATTGAGTTCATAGATTTCTTTTTATAAACAAAAGTTGGTTAAGATAATTATAACAACATATATACATAGAGTTTCAGTCTATTCCTACATACCAATTAAACATGAGAATGTAATGACTCATTCCATTCCTAAACAAATCCTTTGTGAATCCATGAATGAAATCGATAAAAGATTTAATCTTTTCTTCTTAATCTATTTCAGTTTTGTTATTTTTTAGGTTATTGTGAAAAGTGGGGATGATTGTAGACAGGAACATCTAGCTGTGCAACTTATTTCTCACTTCTATGGTATGTACGTATGTTAATCTTATAATTTTTTTTATAACAAATTATAAAAAAATCTACACGCAATTTTTGTGCATAATCTGTTTTACAAAAAACCAACTTTAAATCTCTAAGCTTCTAATGTAATATGGTGTATACAGTGTGGAACGAGACTAATTTTCCATACAAAAATAGTATATGTGGAAAATTATTAAATATATTTTTTAATAATTTAATAAGATGTAGTGTTTATGTCAGATATATTCCAGGAAGCTGGACTACCTCTCTGGCTAAGACCATATGAAGTTCTAGTCACTTCTTCTTACACAGCTCTAATTGAAACGATTCCAGATACTGTAATTAATGTTACTAAACTTATTTATTATTTATTATTTAAGTTTTAAGTTATTGTTTTTATTAAATAATTTACTCTTTGGCTTTCTGTAGGCCTCACTTCATTCTATCAAAAGTAGATATCCTGATATCACAAGCTTACGTGATTTTTTTATCGCCAAATATCAAGAAAATTCTCCAAGTTATAAGCTTTCACAGGTAAATGATATTATTTTTTTAATGTTTCTTTTATATATGAGGTTCATTTCATTCACACACCAAACATAATCATGGAATTTAAATTCTTGTTGCAGAGGAACTTTGTGGAAAGTATGGCTGGATACTCCCTTGTTTGCTACCTTTTACAGGTATATAACTAAAAACTACTAGTAATCATTGTTTTTCAACTCAATAATCACCATAGCTATTTTCAAATTTAATATACAAAAGAAAATAGTTATCAAAGTTAACAGCAGTTTTTGTCACTGCTTTATTTTCCACTTTTGCAATCTAAGAATGTTGTGGTTTACACTTTACATAATTGAGTGAACTTGGTAAATGAGTAGGAAATGATTTTTGTGATTTTACCTTTTAAATTCTGATTCTTTTGTTGAAAAAAAAAATTGTTTTGCATTTTCAACACATGTAGGTGAAAGATAGGCACAATGGCAACCTTTTGCTTGATGAAGAAGGTCATCTTATACACATTGACTTTGGCTTCATGCTCTCCAATTCACCTGGGGGTGTAAATTTTGAAAGTGCACCTTTCAAGTTAACACGTGAACTTCTTGAGGTAAGTAACTACTATTGTAAAAAGACGTCAATACCCTTCTCATAATACACAGCCTATAAGATTATGTAGTGACATTGGTTTTTGTCATTTTGTGTTAGGTTATGGATTCGGATGCTGAGGGAGTTTCAAGCGAGTTCTTCGACTATTTCAAAGTACAGTTTTTTTTTTTAAAAAAATATATATATATAAAATAAATTGAGAAAATATTTTCATGTTTTCGGTGTTTATCCAATCTGAAATCAGGTTTTATGCATCCAAGGGTTTCTGACATGCCGAAAACATGCAGAACAGATAATTCTACTTGTTGAGATGTTGCAGGTAATGGAAGCTTCATCATTTTTAGGGTTAAATACAATAAATAGCAATGTATTTTCATTCATTTGTTTATTATAATAGCATCCTACTATTATTCTTTTAAATATTTCCATTTATTTGAGAAATCCATCCATTTATAGCAATGTAATTTAAAATACAAAGCAATTTTCACTACTAAAATCAGGGTAAAATTTTCAATATATAATGTCCTAAAAATAAATTTTAAGTAGAATGCTATAAATATAATGGGTACATTTTCAAGCCTTAATAAGAAAAAGAAAAAGAAAAAGAAAAAGAAAGTAGAATGTTGAAATAGAAATAAGTAAAAGTAGGATGCTATACTGTTTAATACTGTGTTTGGCGTGCATTGGACCGGGACAACAATTGCAAAAAGACGTAAATGCCCTTACATTCTTTTTCACTTTCTTCTCCAGGACTCAGGTTTCCCATGCTTCAAAGGTGGTCCGAGAACTGTACAAAACTTAAGGAAACGTTTTCATTTAAGTTTAACAGAAGAAGTAATTTATATATTAATTTACTTTTTGTTTTTATTTTAAAAAAAAAAAAAAAGTAACATATTATTTTGGTTATATTTTGTTCCAGCAATGTGTGTCCTTGGTGCTTTCTCTAATTAGCAGCAGCTTAGATGCATGGAGAACACGTCAATACGATTACTATCAAAGGGTTTTGAATGGGATACTGTAATATCACTTTCATTCGGTTCCATGAAATGACTATTTAGCCCCTGGACCAAGCAAGCTATCTTTTCTTTCTGACTTAATTAATGGGGGGCATGACTTAATCCGGTAAGCTTTATATCACTGTTTCTTTTTCTTACTTAATGTACAAAGAACACCTTCATAGAAAGAAATTAAAAGTAGACTGCTATAAAAATAATACACAAATAAATGAAAGTAAGTTAATATTTCTTGCATTTAGCCCTAATAGATAAAGTCAGGGAAATGAGGCTTTCCCCATTAAGTCGTATCTTTTTACAAATTTCCCACATTTATTTTTTCCTTACATTTCGCCAGGTGTACCTCCATTTTCTCAAATATTTTATTAAATATTATTTACTTTATCCAGACAACACCCAATGGGAAACAAAGGAACATAATGCAAAGATTTTTCTAGATGAAAGGGAAAGGATGACAAGTTTTTTGGCCCATGGATGACATTTACCATTTTTACCCTTTTTAGTGTACAGGGAAATTTCATGTGATTATATTAGAAGCAATAGTTCGATTGCTTTATCACCAGTTTTTTTTTTTTGCTACACAACCGCTAATTATTGTATTTGTTGTAGTGTATAGTAGTAGTATGATAAGTGTTTTTTTGATGTTGTTTATGTTGGACACTCTATGTATACAATTGCAAGTGGTTACTAAGGTATTGGTAATATCAAAGTTTTGAAAGTTGTTATCTTCGTGATACACATGTTACAAGTTGTGTTCATGGGTTATCTTTTTTTTTTTTTTTGATCTAGCTATCATTGGATTAGCATTATGTACACGTATATATAAATTATAATTGTTCATTTATGTGATTGATCGAGTTTGTTTTAGTAATCCTATTTACAGATTTGAGGTTACATATTTGATTAATTCGGCTAAGAAACGCAACTAGCAAACTTGGTTGCTATGTGGTGCAACTTTCCTTAGGATGGAAGGAGTCATTCCCTCCAAACCCACCCACTTAACTTACCACCACATCATCTTCACATATAAGGTTTTTTTTTAATTTTTTTTTTATTTTTATTTTTCTATTTTTTATTTATATATATATATATATATATATATATATATATATATATATATATATATATTCCAACTTACAACACATGGAATCCATATCATTTTAAACCCACTTAATTTTTAATTTTAAAATAAATATAAACTAATAAAAATCTACAAAATTAATTTACAAAATATTAAAAACCTACAAAACTAATTTAAAAACATACAAATTATTTTGGTACAAGCACAATCAATTAAGCATACATAATCATTTGTCAAAGATTTAGTCAAATTGAAACTCAAATGCTATAAAATAATGAAATAAGGACAAATAATTAAAAATATATTTAGACTGAAACAAAAAAAAAGTTTGCAATGTAATGATCTAATTCTAATCTTATATCTTGGGAAGTTTGATAAATTATTAGTTTTATTTTATTCTAACTGATTAACCCTAAAAAAGTTTAGGGCATTACAAAAACACTTATGATTACTACGTGATTACTATGTTTTGAGTTCCCAAAATCAATAGCAACAGCTTTCTCCTCCTCCAAGCAAGTTAGGGGTTTCCTCCAAGAGGATCCACCCTTCAATTCAACGTAAGAAGAGAAGAGAAAGATACTGCTTCTCTAACCCGCTGCAAGCGATTAAAGGCTCTAGCCCGCTAGAACGCGAATCAAGGATTCACAACTTTATGGTACCGTCGGTACCGCCTCAACCCATTCCCAACCGATCGTTGACCCCGTCCACTATTATAGATATATAAAGGTTTAGTTTTGTAGAATGTTGGCTTGAACAAATTGTCTCCTTGAGTCCTTAGCGGTAAGTGAGGTTTGGATATTAATACGGGCAAATTGCACCAAACAACAAAACATTTTACCATTTTACCAAAACATGCAATATCATATTATATGTTTCATGTTACATGTTGCCTATATCGGTAAAAACAAATGCAAGTTGGTTGCTATTACTGGTAAAAAAATTAGCGTGTTGCATAATTTGGTAAAAATGGGAAAGTTTGTTACTAGTTAAGTGCAATATACATTATTAGTTTCGTACATAAAGATTTTGTGTTGGTGTAAGTCTTTAATTCACTTAACATCACGATTTTTGCTTTGATGATAAAAAATCTAACCCGAAATAATATTGTGAGCTAACCAAGTAACTTTTTTATTTGAAACATATTATTATCCATGGATCAAGTCTTATCGGTATTCACACATCTCAAGTGATCAAGACAATTGAAGCTTCAACATATATATATATATATATATATATATATATATATATATATATATATATATATATATATATATATATATATATATATATATATATATATCTTTTGTCTTAGGATTAGGAAGTGCGTCAACAAGTACATTTTATGTAGTAGCGAAGATTATTAGCATATTGAAGTGAATTTCTGAAACATCTCTCGCATAAAGTGATTTTAAAATTGTTTTAAAATCAAATTTTCATTCCAAAATCAAAGTTTAAGTTTTAAAACATGTACGGATAAACGTTTTGGTCCCAAATCAATTTTAGTTTAAAATATAGCGAGCATATTACAATCAATTTCAAAACATAAGTAAAAGTATGATATTACAAACAATATCATCTTCTAAGTATCCAAGCCTCCTTTATCTCTAACTAGAGCAACATGTCAAAATATAGTGTAAGATGTGAGAATGCATCGTGAGAATACCTGATGTCAACTCTTCGAGAGTAAAGGATGATGGCTATCATCCATACTCAAAGTTAAACTCCCGAAATAGTTTAAATCAACAAAACATCTCAATACCCTTACAAAGTAATATAATAGATTTGGGAAAAACATATCAACATATTAAGTTCACAACATTCGGAGGAATGCAATGCACATGCTCCTAAATCCATTTTCCATGTCCATCTCAGTCAATCTCACAATCCAAATGGTGTTGGATTAGGTTTTTAAGTCCGTAACTATAATTGGTAACACTTAAATTAATAGTAGCACAATCCTTTTGGGCTGCCCTTAAGACTAGTAACTAGACATGATAATATTTGGAGAGAGAGTTTTGATTTATTATTGAAATAAATAATTTGTTAATATATTATGAAAATAATATATTACTTAGAAATAGTAATATTTAATTAATATTTAATCAGAAATTAAATGGAATTAATTTTAGGATTAAAGGAATTAATTAAAAGTGCAGGGACTGAAGTTGAATTATTTAATAGTTGAGCAAGAGAAATCTAGAACCCTCAATATGGGTTGGACGGTTTCTTGAAGCCTAAGGGCTTCTAGAATGATCCCTTGTGGATAAACAAGAAAGTGGATAATTACCCGGTTTAAGATAATCTTGGATTATGCCTTATCTAGGGTTTCTTGACTACACTATATATACAACCTCAACCCTAAGAATTTCGGCCATGCTATTCCTTAAAGGGTTAGGCCGAAAATTCCTCCTATCTCCTCCTTCTCAATCATCTTTCTTTGCTAGTGTTGGGTGTGAACCATTAGAGGCGTAACATTTATGATGCTTGCTCTCAAGGCTTCAACAACACAAGGATTTACATTATTATTACTATATAACAATCAAGGAATGATTCTTATAACCCTAATTATGTATTTTTGATTATATACTAGTGTTCTAGGGTTTATATTTTGTTGTTTAAGTTGTATGTTCAATTAGAGAAAACATAGATCAATTTTTAGGGTTGCATGTACACATAGGATTTATATGTATTACATAATACCCATAAGTGGTATTAGAGCATAGGTTTAGTTTTCTATTGAATTGATACAATGGTTAAACTTGAGCAAGGAGAAGAAAACATAATCGTCATTCTTTTCCGCCACCACGACGTGGTAATTGTTTACCACGACATGGTAATTGTTTCCCACGACGTGTTGGACAGTCAGATCCACAAAATTTGGATTTCTGCTTATCTCATGATTTGATTAAGATAATTACATTAAATAATGTTTTAATTAAGTAAAACTGAATAATTATCTAAGTAATTAGATATCCTTATCTTGAATTCACGATTGGTTTACTTTTAAATTAAAATTAATTTCTTAATTTTCGAAATTTAAAAATAAACCCTAGTATTTTGAAAAGTTTAAAATACATCCTTATGGATATTATTATTAATTTAATTAAGTTATTAATTAAAATATAATCAATGAATCCATAAAATGGTTTAAATATAATTAAATTAAAAGTTTAATTTATTAAAAGATTAAACCGTTGCTATTTTAAAATGTTTTAAAATGCACCTTATACTATGTTTATAATTAAAAGTTTAATATATATTATATGTATAAGGAAAGTCAGTCGAACCGCAAGTACGCCTCATTTACGAAGCCATACTATAAGAGGAGTTTAAGGAAGCGACTTATAAAATGATAGCCATTAGGTATCCATTCTTATCCATCGCTCTCTTGTATGGTGGAGGGTTGTTAGCCGAACGGGTTTGATAAGACAAATTAATCTCATTAAAAGTATAACAATAGAAGGTAACTATACTATTTTAAAAATCCCACTCTTAGTTACTTTAGGAAAAATGTGAAATTGTATGCTAATCCAAGAAATTGCACATTACATGTTATAAGTCGTTAGTGGAGCGTGTGTAGTTAACCAACACACTAGTGGGGGACTAACAAAGGGTGGTAATGGATGTCTCGATAATTATTGTAGATTAAAGGAGTGCGTGTGGTTAATTGGCAAATTAGATTTAATATGTTCTTTATCTTTATCATCCAACATTTGTTTTAACATATTCTTATGCTCTTTTGACTAAATGTATGCTTCTATTATGTCAAGCCCAACTTTATACGAATCGGAAACATCATTAGAGGAAACAATAAATTCACACTTATAGCATTTTGCATTGATTTCATCCTATTTCAATTCAAAAAAGGGTAAAATCATTTTGTGTATATTTTTACCTATTTCACAATCAAGATGTAGTTGAGTAATATTGAAATATAAATGCTTCACAATTAAACATAAAAATATTCCTTTGTTTTAAAAGTGCTAAATTGTCTCTCTTAAGATAAATGACATCATCCTTTGACATATTAAGCTCTAATTCCAACTTCTCTATCCACATCCTTCTCTCTTCACTTTTATTTGTTAACCTGCTGATTTGATCACTAAGGTTAGAATTACTTAGATGTGTTCTCTTTATATTATTTCTAAAATTTGAGAAAGTGTAATTTAAATCATCTAATTCAGATTTGTAACGTGTAATAGGAATATTAAGAGATTAGAGTGTATATAGTGTACCTTATTGATGACCTTCTTGCAATCTTTCACCTGTTCAGAAATAGGCTTCACAGTAAAGCAATTTTTAGAGGCCTGGCTGCCATTAGCCCCTCTGATCCAAAACTACTTTCTGAACCATTAGACATCTACCTTCGTACTCCTGCACTTCAGACTTTACAACAAGAGACCCACCACGTGCGGGTTTCCGAACCTCCTCATCTTCTAAATCAGTCGACCATACTTCAACACGTCCATCTGTGTCACTACCTTCCTGCACAATCAAAGCAAGCTTCGTGTTCGCAACACTCTTCTTCCTAAGATCCTCTATCTTTTGACGATAGTAAACTTCGCCCTTCTCTATTTCCTTCTTTTCACTCATCCTTCTCA